TTCGTTGCTCACCCGTTTCCCCGGTGGGGCGGTTTGTCCTCCTTTCATCTGGTTCTCCGTGTATTCTCCAGGTATCTGTTCAGCCGGGCCGGCTGCCCCCCACCCCCAGTTCCTTTCTGCTCCGCCAGCCATCTCCCGGGCCAGAGAGAAAGGGATTCTCGCGCCCCCTTTTTACAGCTGGCGGTGGCAATGGGACAGCCAGCTTGTGTGCGGCCAGGCCTCCTCCAGTGGAGAACCCGGAGGGTGCCTGTGCCTGTGCCTGTCTCTGTCTCAATGAGGCCGTTTGGCCTTTAGCCTGGGCGACCTCAGCCAGATAGTGGGAGCAAAGGGAGGCGGAGCAGAGGGCCCGAAGCGTGTGGTGCAGTCGGTTGCACTCGCGAGAGATCAGTTCCCACCAAAGCTGATGCCTCTCGCGCAGGAAGCAGCCACTACTTGCGATGACTCCCAAAGCGAAGCAGAAGATGCCAACGAGGGCACCGTAGCTACCATCGGCCCTCACCAAATGGTTGGAGGCCCCCCACACCGGACTCTTTGCATGGGCAGGTGCAGCATCCCGCAGGAGCTGCTGCCACAGTAAACTAACCCAGCGCTCTGCAAAATGTCAGGGGAGGCATCCCAGGAAGAACTCTCCCATTTGCAACGGGACCAAGCAACTGGGGGAGGTGAGGTAGGGCCAGCCAGGCAGACAGCCCCACTGGAACTCCGGCTGCACAGGGCTCCTCCGCCAAGGGGGGGAATGGCATGACGTAGCCCCCACAGCAGCCCCTGATTCAGCAGAACTGCAGCACTGAGGAGGGCACCCAGGCTGTTGGCTCCAGGCTTTGGGGATCTAAAGCCAACAACTGCCAGTCTTTCCCCCTGACCTGAACGTTTGGGTCATGCTGGCCGGGCTGTTTCCTGGTACCAGAGTTATCGAGTGGTGCAGGCAAATAGTTCTCCCTCAAATGAGATGCCAGACACTGAATTGTAGGGACAAAATGATGGGGAGATACGGCAGGAGAGGAATCTGCTCTTCTGGCCCCTAAACCATCTGCCTGCCGTGAGTCGCCTGCATACAAAACTGATAGCAGGCCCTGGCTCAGTGGCAGAGCCCTTCAGCATGCAGAGGGCACTAGGGTCAACCCTGGCAAAGTCTCCCAGTGGAACTGGGAATTGCCCAGCCTTTCTGAAGCCTAGGAAGCTATCCCACTGGTCAGCACAGATAGGACCAAACTAGATGGGCCAGCAACTGGGACTCAGTAAAAGGCAGCTTTCTCTAGCCACGGTGCAGAAGCCAGAGGCCAGGATATGGAGGGTGAAAGACTCTGAAGCCTCGTTAACTGAAGGAGCGATTCCTGTTTCCAGGGAACGTAGAGCATGAATGCAGCATTTGCCTCACCATATGAGAGGGGCCAGGTGGTCATACCTACAGGAATCTGGATGTAGCTGCCCGGTTCTTGTCCCTGAATCTGGGCAAGGGCCCTGTGGCATGGCAGAAGGGCCACCTCCTCCACAGGCAAAGTGCTTGGACGTTTGAATTTAGGAAAAGTAACGGGAGAGAAGCAAGCTAGAGACTGAGGTACGGTAGAGGTCAGTACAGTGACATGCTTCCCTAAAGTAACAGGAAGAACTCGAGGAGAAGCTGATTGACAAGAAATATTGAGCAAGCAGAAGAATCAGACACCCTCTTCATCCCCCGCAAACTGGTTGGGCCGTGAGCCTCATTGTCTCAGAGAGAGCCTAGTCTTTTGTAGAGGAGAGCGAGCACTGGTAGTGAGAACAAGGGCAGTGCTGATGTTCAACCGGTGCAACTTGCTGGTCACGCTGCACACCAAAGGCTGCCCTGACCCAGGCCCAGCCTCTTCCACACTGCACTCCCACATAGTGACATGGTTGGAATACCAAGCGGTTTTTGTCTTTCCCTCCTTCCCTTAGCCCACCCACATCACCTGTGTGCTTTTCTGAGTCTGTCTGGAACCCCCACAACCACACTGAGCAAAGCTGCATTTGCAAAGCAAATGAAAGAGGCTCACAGCCCCCCTTCCCTCCCATGTGGCTTTGCCTAGACTTCCAAGGATTGCCAAGGTGTCTTCCTTACTCCTGAGTTGCAAATACTCCATAGAAGGCAGTGGCATTCCAGCAGCCTGAGGACAGCTTCACCAAGTCCTTCAAAATGTCGAAAACAGTGCCACTCTTAGGATCTGTGCAACCAGCCGTGTTTGCAGGAAACTCGTCCGCTTCTTCTGCAGCACCCTATGGCCTTCCGTGTCTCCATGAAAACCGGAAGCAGTGCAGGTGTGTTCAGGAGGGGCACAAAGAGCTCCCATGTCAAGAGGCTGCCTCAGCACACAGCCGCAATCATAACCCCATGCAAAGAGCTCACTGGACTCCAGGTGGGCAGGACTGAAGTAGACAGAA